AGATAGGAGGACAAGAGGAATGTGACACGCTCTGGCTGCAGGCAAGTTAGCCTGGGCTGAGCCCACAGGGGTCAGGGGTCAGGGCCCAGGCCCAGGGAACTTTCGAGAATCACAGGATGCCTCAGTGCAGGCACGGAATATACTGAACTGTTGTAATAGGACCTCAAAGGCAACAGCACCAAAATTTACTTACATATGCATCTGCTGTTGCTCTTGTTTCTAAAAGAATGTCTTAACAAGCAGAAGGGTAATTCTGTCAACGCGTCCGTTTGTAGAGCATCTCCCCACCCCGGCTTTGGTCTCTCTCCCAATTAGCTAATGTGGCAGAAAGTACAAGAAGAACAAAAAACTCAGCCCCGTGTGAATTGTGGAACGCTTTATTGAACACAAATTAACAGAAGTCAGGTTTCTTCTGTGGGTTAGGAAGGACTCAAGACACCAGCAAACAAGTGAAAGGAATTTCTGGAACTGTTTGGGCAGAGGCAGAAGTTCAAAGGGAATTAATGTGGAGGACAAGATGAATAGCCCCTTCTGAAATGCTTCAGATGGTGAAAGAAATGAGGTCCCAGGGCTGGGGAAGCAGAGGAAAGGTAGAGGGGCCCCGGAAGAGAGCATTTACCCAGAATGCTCTACTCTCAGTGTCCTCAGAGCCAGCTGGAGCTCACGGCAGCCCAATTTGCTGGAAGGGGCCTGAGCTTTGGCCTTTGAGCTTAACTCACTAGCCAGTGAGTCCACTATGCGCCACTAGCTAATTGTGTGGCTTTGCACTGCTTCACTGTCCTAAACCTTAGTTTCCTCATCCTTAAAATGGGGCTGGTAATGCCAGCCGCCTGGGGTTGTTAGGAGGATGACATGAAATAAAAAATGTGGACGTTCCAACCACAGCATGGTGGACACACACAAACTGTGGTTCCCTATCCAAGCCCCAGAAGCAGCTCATTTCTGGGCTTGCGCTTGCCCCCACCAACTGCTTTGAAAGGCTCCCTCGAGGAATCGGGCACTGGTCCTAGCAGTCCTCCCCACAGGGGAGCTCTTGCACTGGGGCTGCCGGAGTCGAATGTGGATGGACAGCTGCGTCCCTGGCCAGGGCCAGGACCAGGGGTTGCCCGCGGCAATCTGGGGAGGCCTGCAGCTGTGCTGAGCTCAGCCCTGTTTGTGAGGCAAGGCCCTGGGCCAGAGGTCTCCTCGCAGGAAGCTGTCACCTTCGCCTAGTTTTCCAGATGCCTGCCCTCCAGTGGGCACCTGACGCAAGCTCAGCTAGTATGTAAGTCTGTGGCTTTCTAGGATTTTTTGAAAGTGAGGACAGGACCTCCTACCCAATCCAGTATTTAGTCCCCTGGGCAACCAAAATTATCCAAGCTATTTATAGGCCATTCTTAATGCCTGAGCTTGAAAAAATCAAAAGCCAAGAGCATTTGGGTCCCACCCACTTTTTTTAAAATGTCAAGGAAGGGCCGGCCGAGTGGTGCATTGGTTAGGAGTTGGCTTGGGACGCCAGCTCTGAGCAGCAGGGCCCCAGTTCGGATCCCACATGAGAGCCAGTGACGCTGCATCCTCTACAGCTAAGATGGTGAACAACAGCTCGACCTGGAGCTGGCTGCTGTTAGTCGCAGGTGTCTGCGTAGGCTGCAGCCCCTGCTGCAGTGGGCTGCCGTGAGCTACCGTGAGCGGCCCAGCAGCCGGCATGAGCTGCCTTGAGCCACCGTGAGTGGCCTTCCAATGGCCAGCAAGTGACTGCCTCACCCGGGAAGAGCGCAATGATAATACCAACATGGGCCAGTGAAGCGACGCCCCCCACAACTAGACTGAAGAACAAAAGGACAGCAAGTTGTCTGTTCCCCTCCCCCAATTCCTCAATAAAATCTTAAAAAAACAAAGGTAAGGAAAATGATGATTGATTTATAAGCTGATCGAAGGCTGGGCACCCCTTTCCCCATATTACTATCCCCAGCACATGAAACCCACCCCCCCACACACAAATACATATACACGTGCACATACATACTCACACATGAACTTTTATACATGCACAGGGTAGAGTCCCTTGGAGAAAGTCTTGATATTGTCCAACATTTTCTAGTTTCTCCTCTAAAACACCGATGACTGCCGCGTCCAGTGCAGCTAGTCGAACCGGCCTGAGTGGGGGCGACAGAGGATGAAGAAAGACAGACAAAGAAATACTTGAAAGCGGGGGCTAGGTAGATGGCTGTCTCCTGATAGGAGGACAGTGACCCAGTCTAGCAGCCGTGATTTATTGATATTGTCTTGCTTATCCAGGGGAGGAGA